CCACTTAAAGCTAGGTTACAAACCAGGTTTAAGCAGATTCTTACAAAATGTTCCTGTCTCTGCATTGGTCCATTGGCCCCTAGCCTCAGAGTCACAATGTTCGCCTCTCTTCCCCCTAATCAATCTACCTACAGACCTAAATCTGTCTCTTTCTCTCTTTCTCTGACATAGAGGTAAAGAGACTTCACGCCACTTGGAAAAGGGATTTCTAAATTCTAAAACAGCTAATATCATGTATTTCTTTCAATCGACTGTTAATACACCGTGAATTCATTATCAGTGGTTCTCAACCTTCCTAATGCCGCGACCCTTTAATACAGTTCCTCATGTTGTGGTGACCCCCCACCATAAGATTATTTTCGTTGCTACTTCATAACTGTAATTTTGCTGTTATGAATCGTAATGTAAATATCTGATATGCAGGATGTATTTTCATTGTTACAAATTGAACATAATTAAAGCATAGTGATTAATCACAAAAACAATATGTAATTATATATGTGTTTTCTGATGGTCTTAGGCGACCCCTGTGAACCGCTGCATTAGAATGTGTGCGTGTTTCAATAGAAGCACACAGCCTGTCAGCCTAATACAGAAAATGACTAGAAGGTAAATAAATAAATAAATAAGTAAATAAATCAGAAAAACACCAAGTTACTAGTTTATAAAATTTAGGTTCTATGGCACTTCCTATTACAGTGGCATGACTATGTGAAAGAAAACCATATTAACAGAAGATGATAACCTTCAAGAAAAATCTGGGAATTTGCAGAAAACCGCAAAAAAGAAAGTCTTCATTCAAGTTATTGAAAATTCTGTACTTGTTTTAAAGATAAATATTTAGTTGAGATGGTTCCTTAACACGATTTGGCCCTCGGGTGATTATTTGATTCTAACAAATGTTAATCTCAATGCCTGAGAAGAGTTATAAAGGTGCTGGGAGAAATGAAAAATGGAACAAAACAAGCTGAAGAGATATAAATTTCATGTGGAGAATTATATTCATGAAATAAAACACATGCAAATTTATTGAGTAAGGCATGTCAGATAGACCTAACACAAAAAGTCAATTACATCCTTTGCCTAAAACCTGCTAGGTTATCTTCCCAGTGGAGTTAAATCTTTTTCACCATGTTAAAACCAAAGAATTTCTAATAAACAAGTACTAGAAACACTGAATTGCCACTATTTATTTCCCATTTATAGGGCATAAAGCCAGAACTCACAGAAATACAATAGGGCTGTCTAGGACCATGCAAGCTACTCAGTAATCTAAAAGAAACAGAAAGAAGAATCTGTTTTTTTCTATTCCATTATCATCTCACTAACAAATCAGTACCAGGCATCAAGAAATGTGAAACAAAGAGCAATTTCACACATATGAACTGAACCTAAACCACGGAAGACTAAGTATTTTCTTGTCACTGTGACATGTGATTCTTTAACCACCTGCTCAATAATCCCTCTTCAGCTGCACAGCTGCTGCCAATTCCACATGCCCAGCTAGGCAGGTGCTTTGGTGAATTACCTGTTCCCTAGTGAAAAGAGTCCTTCACTGACACTTACTGGGCCCAGAACCTGCCAATCAGCATCACCTATCTTCATTGTGCCTGTCACAGCCAACTTTCATGAGAGAGATCATAAAGGCATATTTAGTACACAATGTGATTTTTGTATTTTGTGGGGTTTTGTTGTTGTTGTTCTTTGTTTTTTAAAGAAAATGGATTTTTATAAATCAAGTAGAAGTGAGAATTCAACTGCTGGGGAAAAAAGCCTTGCCACACAACATAAGGCTGCCTTATCTCAGAGTGACCCCATCTGTCTGGCACTATTTCCACCCATGATATTTTCCACAAGGGAAATAACAATTGCTTAGCTACCTTTGGAGATGGAGAAAGTGGCAGAAGAAGGTGCTATGGTACCTGGCAGTAATAAGAGAGAGAGAGCAGAGCAAGAAGTTCTGGAAACCACATATCATTTCTATACTTCTTAAGTTTCCATGGCTGAGCCCAGGCAGTGGAGTTCCAGGCAAATAAATAAGGAGTGGCACTTCCACTTGACAGAGCAATCAGTAAACCCCTCAACAAATTATCCTATTCCATCCATTTAGTTGCTCTATGCTAATTGCAACATAATTACTACCAGTAGCCAAAATTATGCTTTCATATCCTCAAAAAAAGCACAAATCTGTCCAGCTATCCAGACCTCTCACAAGGAAACATTCTCTTTTCTTAATACGTGTGTGTGTGTGTGTGTGTGTGTGTGTGTGTGTGTGTGAAAGGGAGAGGAAGAGAGATAGAATCATCAATGATGAGAGAAAATCACTGATCACCGATCAACTGCCTCCTGCGTGCCCCTTATTGGGAATTGAGCCCGCAACCCGGACATATGCCCTGACTGGGGGAATCAAACCTCCTGGTTCATAGGTTGATGCTCACTGAGTGACACCGGCCAGGCACAAGGAAAAATTTTCTGCCAAGATGCTGGGGGTGGGGAAGACCCAAAGTACTCTCTGAAGGATGGTCACAATCAGAAGACTCATGAGACTCCTCACGGCAAGGGCCCAAATTTGAAAGCTCTATACCTAATCAAGGCAAATTAATCTGGGGCTTCTGCCTTCAGTGTCACCTGACAGGATTCAGAAATGAATGCCACCAGCACAAGAGCAAAAAGCTTTGGACTCAATTTAGCTGAGACTTCACTCAGAGACCAAGGACATATATTAGTTGAAAATAGCCTAAAGACAGACAACACCTCTAGTAAGACCTTAAGACAGTTCTGTCATCAGGAAATACAAAGGTCACAACAACTTCTTCCTAACAAAGCCCAACACCTCAGTGGCAAGCCATCATTTTAAGACTATTTGAAATAAAGGATGGAGGGAAGCAACATAGATTCAGCACCTCAGAAAGGCCTTTACCAATACCAAAGGCTAAAATTTCTATTTATATGAAATGGTTGGCTATTGTGTACAGTGTATTCTATACAACTGTTCTCTCAAAATGAGTTTGATTTCTAATCTCTTTTTAAACAAAAGTTTTCTTCAACGTCCTAAATGAAAACCAAATTTTTAGCCCCAAATATTATTTTTACCTAATATACCAGTTGGACACTTCTATGAGATATATACAAGGATAGGGTTCCTTCTAGCTTGTTCTCATCCTTATCTCATTAATAACCCCCAAGCTCTCAAATGTGGGTGGTGGTGTTTTTTTAATGTTCATCTCTTTGGCACAGTTCTCCCTAATAAAGAGGTAGATATGGACCTTCTGCACAATAAGCAAGTCACCCTTTTCAGCAGAATTAAAATGAACAGGGATGTTGTTTTGTTTCCACAGGCCTTGACCAGATAGGCAAATCCTGTGGTTTTTTGTTGTGCAATTACTATTGACCAGGAAGTCACCATTAAAAAGGTACTGGGTCCTTGACTCCCTATATTAACACTACACAGGTTTCTGGTTGTATTCCTAAACAAACACACAAAAATCACTGTATGAGTGCCTCATCTCTATAAAAAGAATTAAATATGATGGTTCAAACCAGAGTAGAAACCTCCCCTTGGAGGTCTGACATAAACCTCAGGGTCGAGTCTCCCAGACACTATTCCTTCACAACTTAGTACAGGCTAAAGAGGCAGGCACAACATGGCTGGCATCCCCTATTCTTCTGAAAAATGTGTGCCAATGAGCTCTGCATTGTTCCTCACTCAAAAAGAAGAGCCTTTCTGTCTGGCCTCCTCCAATGGCAAGCCCCAGTCTGGAAAAGGAAGAAAATGGCACTGAGGAGCCTGGGAGATGGAGCATATCCAAAGCTCTCAGACAAGACTTGAACCTATGACCTTCACTGTGTACACAATAGGCGGGTGAGAGGGACCGGTTTATCTCTGCAGCAGCAGTTCTCAGCCCTGGGGTAGCACTCCCGATAAAATGACACGACTATTGTGTGTGGCAGCACAACAGCCCTCTCTCCTCACAACCGTCTAAACCAGCACTCCCTCCCCCGAGACAAAGCAGCAGGGGTGAAATTAACTCACGGCTGCAGAGCAAAGCCTCGTACAGAAAAGAGAGGCCTGTGGGGGACGGGGGACTCTACCCAACCCCTGGGGCCCTGGACACATGGCTGGGAACAGACAGGCTTCCTCCCCCATCTCCCCCACTTTCATTTAGGCAGGAAGCTGTTTCTCGTAGAGAATTCAATCATCTGTGATTTGTTCAGAAATATTCCCCCTGAAGGGCTCTGATCTCTCCACCCTGTGTGAGCCTAATTCCTAGAAGCTGAAATGACTGTTTGCTGCTGCCTGTTTCACAAACACACATTAATTGGTCAGATGTGTCTCCTCCTCCTCAACCCCAGAGGGAGGAAGGAGAATCTGAGCACAGCACAGAGATGATCCAACCGTAATTACACATAAAGGGAAAAGAGGGCAGCATGGGTTTTCCAAACAGGACAGGGTCACAAACCCTCCGGGGGGGCAGAGAGCAGTTAAGGGCCAGGCCCAGGAATCCCTCCATCTTGAAGAAAAGGACAGGGGTAAATATGACCTGCAGACTAGAGGGATCACACACCCACAACCTACTTGCTGCACACTCCCAGCCACCTTGCTGCCCCTCCTGGGCCACGCACACGTCCAGCTCCCACCCCTTCGCTCTGAACCCCCAACTCCCAGACTAGCCCCCGTCGTCCTGGGCCCCCTGAAGACAGACTGGCCTCAAACTCTCTGGCCTGTCCCTGCAACCTGGCTGGACCCTAATCCCCGCTCGGGCACCCCTCCCCTCACCCTGAATCGGCCCGGCCATGCTTTGAACTTCACCCCGCGCCCCTCGACGCCCCCTCCCCCACCCAAGCAACGACCCCCCCCTCCCCTCCATACACACCTTCCCCCCGTTCGGCCCCGACCCCCAACCTCCACTTCCTCCGTCAGGCGTCGCCACCCCCGGCTCCCCTCAGCGCCGCCGCCTCTCCTCCCCCAGCCCCGGCTTCACACAAAGCTCCGGACTCACCGCGCGGCCGGTCCCGGGAGCCGCCACCTCTGCTGGCCCGGGGCCCCGGGCCGTAGAGCCGCCGCTGCTACGGGGCCCAGGCCGCCATCCGTTCCCGCGGCCCCTCCCCCCCACCCCACCCCGCCTCCGCTTCGGCTCT